CCCCCACCCCCATCCCCAGACTGAACACACACTGCAGTTAAAGCCCGTTACCCTGCTTTGCACTACCCCGGTTTGCTTGGACCCCTCATCTACAAAGAACAGAGGCCGGCTAGTCCGCCTCCACCGAAACGCACACATCTAATAGACACTCACACACACTCACATTCAGTGTCCTAAACACACTCTCCCCCTTCTCCCTTGAAAGTCTCTCAGAGTAAAAACCTCAGAACAAAACAAACAAACAAAAAAAGGTGCAAGGAGACTCGTCCGGCAGCTGGAAGGTCAGAGGTCAGCGGCGGCGGCGGCGGCGGCGACTCATGACCGCATCATCCCAACCTGCAAGTCCCACCACTTGCCGCCCGTGCCAGCTCAGTCTTTGCAACGCCGACGCCCTCTGTGGGCGTTTTCACACATTTCATGGCGGGAGAGAGAGAGAGAGAGAGAGAGAGAGAGAGAGAGAGAGGGAGAAGAGTGGAGGAAGGCAGATGCTAACTGTCACGGTTGGCCTACGAAGGAAACATCTAACGCCAGAGCGCTCCGGAGCGTGAGGAGGGGGGGCAGCTCTGTCCGGCGTGTCTGGGCTCAGATAAGTCGAGTGGAGGCGCGCATGGTGTTCTCCGAACTGAAGTGGACATTGTTCTGCTTCTGCCGGTTGATCCTGTTGGTCCGAGGGCACTTCCTGTACAGAGATTAGATCGAAAAGAAATGGCATTAATTACTCTGAAATTACAAAAAAGAAAAAAAAAAAAGAAACCCTTATAACACTATCCAACTAAAAGATGTGATTCGTTGTGTTTCTCGAGCTTTAAAACACAAGTTGGTCTTGTGAAATATGGAGGACTGAAACTGACATAATTAGAAATAAAATAAATAAAAATTAAAACACAGACACAGGTAAAAGTTGTTCCTCCTTGCCTTTGTTTTTAACTAAACTTTAAATTTTAAGCTAATCTAAGGCAGTGCAATCATGCACATTAGATCTGCACATGGATCCTGCTCCTTCCTGTCTGTTGACCAATAGGAGAGGAGCTGACCCAAGAAGCTCCGCCCACCTTAATAGCATGATGAGGCAGAAATGCATAAGGTAAATAAAAACAGGAGACAGAGAAATATAAAAGCAACGTACAGTACATAAATAAAAAGACTTGTCGGGAAAATTATGAAACATAATTAAATCTAATAATTTAAGAGACAAAATGCATTTACAAGTAAATGGAAATATATATATATATATATACATATTTAAATTTAAATTATTTGCTAAAATATATAATTTATTGGAATTAAGCTGGAAAACAAATATGAAGGTCAATTAAAGTATAAAACATTCTTTTTTATTTAATTGGTGCATTTGAAGTATATTTATTTATTGGTCCATTTATATATTTATGCTTTTATTTCTAATTATGTCAGTTTCGGTCCTCCATACTTAACCAGCGACTACATTTTGATTTGCAAATTGAAAAAACAACCTTAGTTTTGACATTGGAGGTAAAACGAAAGAACATTTTTAACGCATTCATCTGCTGACATAACTAAATAAAAAGCCAACTCTATGTAACTCTTTATTTAATAAAGTTATTTTATCAAATCAAGTTCTTTAAATAATGTTTTTCACTGTTTCTGATTATTAAAAAGCATATTAAAAACAAATGAAGTTGACCAAAATGCAGAACAAAATCTAAACTCAAATTAAAATATTTCTTTTCCTTCTGTTTATGTTCTAAAATGTGCTTTTGGGTTTAATAGCAAGATAAATGGGGTTTTCTGTTTGCATTGATTAGTAAATAAATGCAAGAAAAAAGTAAATAAATCAGAAGAATAGAACCACTTTGATATGTTAGAGTCATTTCTTTCTTTAAACCATAATATTTCAGATAAGTCAACAAGTTTTTTATTCTTTTGTTCTTTTCAGAGGACACATGTATAGAATAATGTGGTAACAACGTGGTATTTGACGGAGAAAGTTCCTTCGAGCGGACCTTTTCCTGGATGTGACAGAATGTCATACACAGGAGGCAAAGCGCAGCGATGACCTTTTCTGCTCCCACCTGTTTGTCCTTTAACTGAATGGGGAAATAAGCAGAAATCCTATAAAAGTCTGGCAACATTCATAAAATGCAATACAAGCTCAGCATAGATGGAGCTTGACAATAATCCCCTGGTGTGTTCAGATTCAATAAGCTGCGCGCCACGTGCCGTGCACTGAACTTCTTTCTACAAGACTGTGTGAGTTTTATTTTAAAAAAGTCTGTTAAATGGGTATCGCTGAGCTGCAGGAAACATTAGTGCCACAGGAACTCTTCATGTTATAAATTCTCCTTCTGCTTCTTTTATCTTCTCCCTTTACCTTCCCACCCTGCCGTTTTAACAACCGCTTGCTCTTTCTCTCGGTCCCTCTTCCTCCTCTTCTTCCTCCTGCCCTCCTTTGCCCAGAGGAGCAGTTTTGTCTCGACCAAAACTCTTAAAATCTTTTATTAAATGTCATAAATTGCTAAGGTCAGCTGGAGGCAGACAAGCTGCAGGCTGTACTATATATTGTATGTGTGTGTTTTCTCTGAGTAATATATGTGTGCTAGTTTTTTTTTTAGTATTATTACATAATGCTTGTTAAAACAAAACTGCCACAGCTAACACAGATACTACCTGAGTAAGTCTGCACACGCAGCACTTTTTCAGACGCGTGCACCCTCAGGGAAAGTGACAGAACTTTCTCCCTGGGGTGAGGAGCTTGGTGACATTTCTGCTGTTTTCTCCAAGCTCAGGAGCTTTTCATTTAAAAAAAAATGCTCATAAGATGGTAAATATTTCACTGAGGCTTATTACTTTGCTGCGTTTATGTGCGCGGTTCAGGAGTCCTAAATCTATCCATGCACCTCCTCTGAAAAATAAAAAGGCAGCGCTTAAAGTGCCAAAACCTGAAACTCTTCAGAGGTTCAGTCCATCACAGAGGTAATGTCAACAACTTGATTCTTTTCTCTCTAAAAATAGAATTTGCATGTGGACCACATTGTTATTTTTGCAAAACGCCAGTTTAAAAAAAAAGACTCTTCAACATCTACAGCACATCTGTCAAACTCAAGGCCCGCGGGCCAAATCTAGTCCTCGTAAAGGGAATTCTTTAAATGTTTCTTGTTTTTGTCACTGGATTTAGTGCGTTCTTCTCATGACTGTTGACCAAATTTCAAGCAAGAAAATGAATTTAGAATTTTTCAATAACCTTTTCATTTTGATGTCGAGAGATCAACAAAGACTCTAATTAAAATATATTTTTCCTTGTATTATCGGTAACGCTTTCGTTTACGGTACCCTTATTACCATGTAATTACGTGGTAATTAGGGTACAATTTTACTATGCAATTAATTGTCTGAATGTAGCACTTAAAATAAGTAATGTTTTACTGCAATTAACCACTAACCCCAACATTTAGTTGCATTCTTTTGGTTATAAATATAGTGTTGAGTTACTATTGAACAGTAATTTGATTGTAGTTACCCAATAAAGGTAGTTTTACTAACAGTAGTTTTTCTTTTGTACCCTAATTGCCACATAATTACATTGTAATAAGGTAGAATGAGGTAGTAATTACATTTAATTACCATTATTACCTTGTAATTACATGGAAATAAGGGTACTGTAAAAGAAAGTGTTAATGTATTATCGTCTTATTTTAAGTCAAATAATTGGATGTTTTTCATTTTTTTACTGATTTGCTCGATTGTGATAAAACATATCTCTTAGAAATAATAAATCAAAAAGTTGCTGGTAGCTGGCAAGGCATAAGAAATCAATACGAAAGATACAGCGTGTGTTTGTAAATTGAGTCATTTTATTTATCTTATGTTATGCATGTTCTAAAGGCAACATAAAAATAATTTGGAAAAGGTCATTTGTATTTCTGTAAGAATATTTCGATATAGATTTATTTATTTATTTTTAATATTGACAGCTTGGCCTTTGGCTTGGACCATGTTTAGAAATTTGGTCCACATTTGTAACTGAGTTTGACACCCCAGATCTACAGTGTATCTGGGTTCTAAATGAACATGTGATTCAGTCCCTTCATTAAACTGAAGATGAAAATAACCAAATCCTAAGATGAAGACATGTTTTACTGAGCTGAAACTGTGGGGTTAGAGAAGAAGTGTCTCCCGGGAACCCATGTAAATCAGTCATAAAATGTCCTCTGAATTCATTGAAACAACTATGTGTGTGTGTGTGTGTGTGTGTGTGTGTCCTTCAGGGCATGACTCACCTGGTAATGCAGAGCACCACCACACAGATGATGACCACCTGGAGGGCTCCGATGATTGAGGCGATGAGGACATAGTGCAGTTTTCCAGAGCCTGGCACCACATAGAGCACGTTGTACTCTTTGATGTCACATCGAGGGCCTCTGAAGCCTGAGTGACAGCTGAGATCATACGCGCACACACACATATGCACACACACAACCAGATTGAAGTGGAGACAAACGAGGGAAAAAAAACATCATTTCTTGGTGCTAAAAAAAACAAGTTCATTATTTACTGCATTTCTAATAGAAATAAAAAAAACACTGTTGTGACCTTTGTTCGCTGTGACTGTAACAATGAAAATGACTGATAGGACTTTAAGTAATTATACATTCATAAAGAATGGTTCCATGTGCAAAATCGTCTCCCAGTTTTAATAACTGAGTTACGGTGCATGTCAGTGTTTGCAGCTACATCTTAAAAACTGCAAGTTGCTCATTTTGTGACATCACCCCAAGTTTTCAATATGAATGCATTAGTAATGGCAGTGGTGGGCACAAGTCCGCTAAAGCGCAAATCTGCTAATTGTGGACCTAAATATTTTGTTCCCGCTTTAGCGGTATTACAAATTTTTATAATTCATAAGTGGATTTACGCTTTCTAAAATTAAAATGCAGTACCGCTAATAACTAATTATCTACCAGTCATCGTTATCTTGAACAGCAGAAGGTATGGCTGTCAATGAATCACAACACATGATCTATCCAACAGCACCCCTCCCAGATAAACACACTTATTGAGAAGGTATACATCCTTGCTGACTGTTGCTTTCGGCCATGGTTCTCATTTCCCACAATGCTTTGTGTCTGTTTACGTAGCAGGAAGACAATGTTTAGTTCTCCTTTCCCAGCAAAAACAGTTAATGTTTGTAATCCATACTAAAATTTTGTATGTATTGATTTATTTTACTTTACAATCAGAGCTCCTTTTAAAAAAAAAGTTTAAACGCTGGAGCTCAATACTTGACGTAATTGGTCGAAGCAATCCGCCAACTGGGTTAGACAGACTTCTAGTGGTCAAATGGAGCAACTACATGGAAAACTTTTGTTTCCCGTCAAAAATCAAATTTGTCATGTACCCAGAATGCACCGCTTCAGTTTTCCAATTAACAGTTTTAAAATTACTTTATTGATGCTTCTTTAATGACAAATCTACAAAAAAAGAAAAGAAAAGACAAAGAAGCAGCCGAACTAGCAATCCTCAACAACTTTTTAAAGAATCAGCCGAACTAGCAATCCTCAACAACTTTTTAAAGAATCAGCCGAACTAGCAATCCTCAACAACTTTTTAAAGAATCAGCCAAACTAGCAATCCTTAACAACTTTTTAATTTTTATACCAGGAGCCAAAGTTCTGTTGCAGGAAATCCCATCCCCAGCAATTGGCGTTTGTAGGATTAAGCTGTACAAGGGTTCAAACACCACCAAATGGCAGTGTTGTACATATATTGTATGTGACTTGTTGCCAGCTAGTAAGTGTCAAATTGAACTTGCACTTTAAAATTAGCTTCTGCTAGTTCTTCGATATGGCATAAGCGTTTTTGAAGTTGCGGACCTAAATATTTTCATTAGTGCTTTAGAAATTGCGGAGCTAATTTTTAGGTTAGCGTTGCCCACCACTGAGTAATGGTGTAAGTTAAGGTCATAAAGATTACTACCAAAATTAAAGCGGAACACATTGTGACCATGCATTATGTGGCTGAACTCAATCACTTGGCAAAAAACTGAATTACTTTGAGCTGTAAAAATGCCCAAATCTGTGTGGTCTGTGTGTCACAAAAACTTTTCATAAAACGCCAACAACACGGAGCCCTGACCCAGTCTGCTCTGAAACCTTGGATAACTGAGTTACTTTTGGCAAGTTAAACAAACCTCGGAGTGGATGAGAGACATTTAATTTATCATTCCAACTTGTGGTTGTGCAGGAAACAAACCTCTCTGGTGGTTCAGGAACACTGCTTTCTGAAGAAAAGCCAAAGTGCCCTTTATCATAGACCTTTTAACACGCATGGAAAGTTATGTAAATTACTGTGAAGGTAAAACAAGGCATAAAATGTCTTCATTAATCTTTGGCAGTTCAATCAGAAATAAATCAAACGTTTCTAGATGCCTCTTTACTGTTGCTACACCCTGATGTGGTATGATTTGGCTCACATAATAGTGTGTATGGTCCAAGAAAACACTCCACACCCACTCCATACACACACACAGTCTGGTGCAGCTATCTTTACAGGGACATTTCATTGACTCCCATTAATTTCTACAGCCTAACCCTGACCCCTAACCTCACAACTGACCCTAAAACTAACCTAAACTCAATTTATACTTTTAGTCCTAAACCTAACCCCTGACCCACCAATGGCATTTCCCCTCATGAGGACTAGGTTTAGTTGGTTCCTACAAGTAGGTGTGTATGACGAAAGTGTCCCCGTATAATAGGAAATATCAGCTCACACACACACTTGTTCTTGCATCAAACTGAGGACATTGCATTAACTTCCGTTCATTTTTGTAACTGTATTTATGCAAAAACCCAGACATTTTCCCTAAAATTAACCTTTACTGGTCTATCCCCAACACTATCCTGAACCAAAACTTAATTCACATCAACATTTCATTTTTTACAGTGCATAGAGTGCAGTAGAACTGCAAAAAAAAGTGAGAACTGGTTAAATGCTTCCCAAATATGTCCTCAATGTGTTGGTTAAAAACATGATGGTCCTCACTCTGTAGCAGAAATAAGCACACACACACACACACACACACACACACACACACACACACAC